ACCACCTTCCATTGAGCTCTGTTGACCAAGGTATATGAGGTGGTCTACTATGTCTTGTTCTTTTCCAGATACATTTTTTTTCTTTCTTTGATGAATTTATTAAACATAACCCGAGTCTTTTTAAGGCTTATTTTTAACAAATAAACTTAAAACAAATAGTTCTCCTGCTTTGTGTAGCTCTTGTATGTGTCTTTGTAGTTCTTCTGGATCTTTTGAGAAAAGAACAATACCAGCTGCAAATCTTAAGTGATTTAAATAGGCCACTGATTTTTATTCCATCTTTTGCCCACTCTAGTTTGCAAAATACTTCTTCAAAGCAGACNACAAAGAAAATCTTCCTAGCTTCTCCCAAAGCCTACCTGAACGATTCTGGCCTTACCACTTATGACAGTGGTCTCCAAACTTGGCAACTTTAAGACCTGTGGACTTCAACTCCCAGAGTTCCTCAGCCATCTGGCTGAGGAACTCTGGGAGTTGAAGTCCACAGGTCTTAAAGTTGCCAAGGTTGGAGACCACTGACTTATGAAAAGCCATTAAAGTAGATACTCAGAGTAAGCTATTCCATAGAATAGAGGCTATTGTATAAAAACACTAATTGCAGACTCTTAGACTTTCACCTCACAAAACTGAGGGACTAGTAAAAAAAAAAAATCAAGAGCATATTGGATCAGTCAATTCCACTCGGAAGAAACAGCTCCGAAGGTCCCTGGGAACCAAACCATGTAGGATTAGTAAATTAAACCAATATTTTAAATGTATAGTATCTGGAAGCCAATGCAGAGGCTGCAACACAGGAATCATATACCTGCAATAACCCTTACCTGCCAAGAAACTGACCACTGCATTGATGCACAGAGAAATGGCTTTCTTGGTGGAATAAATTAATAAATACTTCTGTAGACCTCCATTGCAGCCATGTTATCAGCACTACACAATTAAAACAATGTAACTATTACCTGTTTATCACTACTGTTGTCATCCATTACATTTAATCATTCTGCACGTACAATCCATTCCCCTATATTTGCAGTGCTTCTAAGAGAAAGAAATAATTGTTTTGGACTTCTGCTTCAGTTCTCTGGGCTATATGAACTTCAGCTTCAATTCAAACTGGCCCCACAGGTGTAATATGTTCATCGTGTCTAAGGCTAGATAGCAAGTGCTGCATTTTGTACTGAAAAAAGTTTATTAGTGATCTTTAAATCCAAGCTGCTATTTTCACATTCCATTGCATAAGAAACAGACTAACAGAAAAGTAATTAGCTAACCACAATTCTTCCTCTATTTCGCCACCATGAATAGATTCTTTCTCCTAAAATGTACTTTATGATGTACATGAGAATTGCTCATATTGTTTTCTTAGAATTAACAGGTCAGCATAATAGCTGTGTTTTAAGTATCACTACTGCTGAATTAAATGCAGTACAAATATGCCATCTACATATTTTAACTCTATTATCAATGAATAAAAAATTACAAATAACTCCTTCCCAGGATGGCTGCTGAATGTTAAGGGACTTTCTTTCTCTTACCCACTGTTAGAAACTTAAAAGGCCCCCAATCGGCCCCACCCCCTTTCTTGGCTACTCACTGGCTCCATGGGGAGTTAGGAATTCTGTTGAGGTGCGGGAAGACACCAGAGATGGAATCTGCATATCTGAGGGTGAAGGCAATCTACTTTTCTGGATTTCACACAGGATCAAAGCTCAAAGCAGCGGCATCCCAAACTGCATAGGAAGGACACTTTGAAACCAACAGATACACAAACCACATCCCAAATTCACACAAAGGACCAGTCCTCCTATAAAACCAAGCTCTTCTGCACCATTTTCTCCATAGCCTACCATCAAGAGCAGAACTTTTGTTCTTGAGAATAAAATCCTCTTTCACACAGTATATCTGGATTTCAATTTTATTTGGTTTGTTCTTGCTTTATCCTTGGCTTGAAGAAATCCCAAATTGTTCTCTTAACACCACGATCTGTTGTTTTTGCTGCCAGAGCCAGTGTTTTTGGCAATGTTTTAGCAGGATTTGAATGGGAGCACTTAGGAATGAGCCAAGATGACTTTTGGACCGCCGTGATGGACCTATGTAGGAAGTCATTGGGCATATCGCACACATAAACTATTAACTTTCATTTTTTGAATTTAGTGTTTCATTTTGTTATTTGCTTTTGAAAGTTGATTACTGGTTGAATTCTGATTTGTTTCAACTCCTTGCTGGACTTTAGTTGTTCGTTCTTCTTTTGCTTTCACTTTTATTTATGTTGTTTTCAATAACCTTAATTCTTGCTGCAAGGAAACAAGGTGTGGGTTTAGGTTTTTGGGGATGGTAAAGTCTTTCATTTGACTTATATTGATATTGGATTTCTGTATTTATTTGAATTTGCAAAATATTTGGAGATTATTTCTTTTGGTTTGTTTTTTTTTGACCTTGGATTGAAATATCCAGAAAATGCCTTTCCTGTTTCCTTCTGCTTCTGTGCTTTTTTAAATTGCCTGATCAAGTTACACAGAGCAACAATGGATCAGATGACATATAGAGACATTTAATTTTGGACAAATTAGGTGCACAAAAGGACTTACACTTAACTGGAAATCACTTCTATTTGAACTTTTGTGGAAGATAGACTGATTAGGGAGACTAAATCTATTATACTTAATTAGACAAAATTAATAAAAGATTAAGAAGCAAGCATGGATATTTGATCCAGGATGAATTACTTTTAATTTTTGGGATGATTTGGGATAGATAAGATTCCATAGTAAATTTTCTATGAGTAGTTTACAATAACAGTTTGATAACAGAGTTTTGAAAGCTTAATATCATCTTTTGTGTTATTATCTTTCTTCCTGTTAATTATTCTGTCATTAATATAGTACATAGAGACAGACCAATAATTTGTTTTGCAAGGGGTGGGAATTAATATTGTATTAATAGGTATTCAATTGGGCGGATAATGTGTATCTATGCATTGGGGTTTTTTGCACCTTTTTAATGTCTTCAATGTGTTGTGGGATTTTTTTCTTTGTTTTTTTTTTCTTCTGGGTTTTTTTTTTTGAGTTTTGTATTTTAACTTACTTTTGAATAAAATAAAATTTTTGGGGGAAAAAGATTATGTTTTTCTATATATAGTGGGAACATTCCAAATCTCAGCATTTCTGAAAAATTGTTCACAATAGAATGTAACAAATTTTGAAAGCTGTAATTTCATTGTAATCTCAGATTTTTAAAATTAAATTTCATTATATTTTCCTTCCAAATACATGAATTGGCAGTATACATACTAATAATGACAAGTGTTCTTTATAGTTTTTTTTATTAGAAAAGTTATTTAATTGTACATTTAGAAGAATGACTAACGCAACTGTGGAAACATGCCCTCTATCCAAAACAACTTCATAAAAAGTAAATTAGATATCAAATTTAATTCTAATTGGAACTAATAAGCTGTTACAATTTTATATACTGATTTGTGCCACATTTAAAATCTGAATTTTTTGAAGAATAGTATTTGTGCCTTACTTGATATTCTACTTTCAATATTAATGTTAATAAAATTTAAAGCTTAATGGGGACTTTCAGGTTTTGTTTAGAAAACAGATGCAATATATTTTATAATATCCCCATTTTCTAATATATAGAAATTATGTTCCTTTATAATTCTCTGCATTTGTTATACTTCTAGTTATATTTCATTCCATGTATTTTAGTTTTTTAGATTGAAATAATTCAATAGTTTATTTAATATTTAATTGAATTTTAATTCAAATAATTAAAAATAAGTTTAAAAAGCTGTTTCAGACAAGTGCGAACACCTCTGGAATTACTTTGAAATGCTACATATTTCTAGTAATTTGAATTAAAAATTCAGATCTCTCTTTCAGCAATGATTCTTTCCATGCAATAGTTTAGGTTCTAATACTGCTGGTTTATCTGTGAAGAAGGACAATATAGTTTTTGCATCAATTTTGGAAATGCAACATTTCTAAATATTATAGCAATCATTGGGATTCTTTTAATCAAATGTACAATAAAAGAACAGTTACACCTTAAATTTTCTTATATTATGCATGCATTCTATATTATATGATGAAATACACTTGTTATTGTATATGTTGAAAAATATTTTTTATTTGGTCCCCAGTTAATTATTTTCACTTCCTCAAATATTTTTTTGCTAATTGGAAAAGAGCATAGGATTTCTGTGTTCTGGCAATTCAGCAGTGTTGCAGAGTGCTACTTGAGGGCTGAGATGCTTAAAAGGGTTGTTAAAAATTGCAGCACAACTGAAAGTGTTGAAGGACTAAGTGGAGAGTAGCAGTTGGAGGAAGAGATGCTGTGGCTCAATTTCCCCACCATAGGAAACTCCTGTTGCTAATTGTAAGCTTCAGGTCCTGTATGGCATTGCTAGTTTTGAGTCTTTCTAGCTCAGGATAAAAGATGGGGGAGAAATCTAGAGGTTTTATCACTTTCCTTCTCTAGCACTAAACTTATCAAATTGCAAAGTGCCAATGTGATTGGGTGGACAGTGGCTTTCACTTTTCATGGCATCTCCAAGCAAGGATATGAAATCATCACTGAGTTAGGAAGTAAAATGCCAGCAGTGTTGGACTAGCCTAAGTGGACTGCACAAATGAGGCTCACCACTAAATTACTGCAAAGAAATATGCATAGCTTTTTGCTATCATCAAATGACCATCCATACTATGGCATCCCGGATTTGGGACTCTAAACAGTGTGGAAGTGCTTTATTTTCAGTAGCCAAGAATTCCAAAGGTCTGGAAGATATCATTAAAGAAGGAACTGGCTTGGGAAGAAAGAAATGTCAGTTCAAATAGTCTGTACTCACAATATGAATAACAAAATATAGAGATAAACGTATTAACATGTGATGTTCTCACTCATACTTTCTCTGTGATATCAGTCTATACATGTTTGACCAAGAGATATATTAAAGAAAGCATAGCATTTAAGATAAATATTCTCTGGTTTTTCAGATGCGGTCAGTGAGTAGAGTATTTAAATTCATTGATCTGCCAACAGAAGAATCTAAACCTTTACCAGCATCAAAAAATAAGGAGCTTTCTCATGCTGTCATCATTGAAAATGTGCATGCAAAGGAAGAACACATCTGGCCATCTGGTGGGCAAATGACAGTGAAGAATCTTACTGCTAAATATGTAGATGGAGGATTGGCAGTGTTAGAAAATATTTCCTTTTCAATAGGTCCAGGACAAAGGGTAAGAATATTTTAATTTAAACCTTATCCAAACAAAAACCACAAAACAGAAGAGCCAACAATGTTTTTTAAAAAAATGTTAGTTTATGAATTTGTTAATTTCACCAAATTTATGAATGCCAGTTCCTTCAATATTTTATGTTAATCAATATTTCAGGTGGGCCTTCTAGGAAGAACTGGCTCAGGGAAAAGTACTTTGCTCTTTGCCTTTTTAAGAATCTTGAATACAGAAGGAGATATCCAGATTGATGGTGTCTCGTGGAACACAATCCCTGTACAACAGTGGAGAAAAGCATTTGGAGTAATACCTCAGGTAAATCTGTACCAGTTTGTGAATGTTTTTTCTTCCATTCAATGGTTTCCAATTCTCAGAGCCTGCCTGGCCAAATCTCTATAGTTTCCTTGCACGGTTTTTCAGAAGCAGCTTGCCAGAGCCTCCCTCCTAAGGCTGAGAGAAAGTGACCAGACCAAGTGTACCTATCAATATATTTTGTTCATATAAAACCTTCAGATGCATTTCAATATTAAGATTTTTCATTAAGAGACATACAGGAAGCGAATATAAGTTGTTTGATACAGTTGTGAATTTGCAGTGTCTTTTACCTCATTGCTTTGGTTGGCTCATACATGTTTGAATTTCAGCTAAATCACAGTTCACCATACTATCAAAGTGGACAAAGTCTAAATGCATATATTTTGTTGATAAAGAAGATGAAATGCAGTTCAAACTAAATCTATTTGTAAGGCAAATACATATGCAAATTGTAGTTTTCCCAATATAGAAATCATGACACAGTAGAAAATTAGTGGACAAACTGAAGTATGTGACTAGAGAAGGAAGCACAGAAGAATGACTGTCTTTCATGGAGACATAGTTTGCATGTTTCTTCTGAATCAGATGAAAATTCAGAAGAAACATGAAGAAACAGAAGAAAATTCAGCAAAAAGACAAAGATGCATCAGATAAGCCATTCATTTCATAAATTACAATCAAAATTACAACCAACATTGCTCTCCCCACCTCTGGGCTGAAGGATCTTCTAATCCACAGCATTTCTCCTCCTCTCCAGTATGACATGAATCAATAGGATATAATTTAACTCAGTGCAGATGAAAATCATATATATTCTAATCCTATTTTTTTTAGTCTCTTTTACAGAGAGATTTCTAGTGATCCCCTTCAAAGTAATCACCTACTTTAACCATTCTTAGCATTTGGAGATTAGCTAAGATTAGCTTGCAATGTTAACAGTTATACCCAGAACTGAAAGGAAATGTTCAAGTACAGGAGTCACTTTGTTGTAATTTTAGATCTCATACTTAGTAAAATTTTAGTGTCTACATTACAATTTAATGTAGTCTGAATCCTGGATCTCACTTAAAGCTGGTAGTTAGGTTGTTTTATAAATATATTTTAATGTTGTCTTAAACTTTATTTATCACCCACTAAAACAGTTTAAACACACACATACAAACATTTTTACAGAGCACTTTGCTTGAAGTGGCCTATGACAACAATAAACTGAATTGAATTGAATACAGGAATTAATTAAAAGGAGAGGATAGAAGATACAATCAAATTTCATACAATGTTTTTGAGCAAGCATGAATAATAGGCTTTAAAGGACACCATTGAATTATGAAACAAGAAGCAAAAAGTCCTAGGATCTTCAGGATTCTACATTGCAGGGAATATTAATGTTAAAAATATAAACTTTTGCATTTCCCTTTGTTGGAAGTTATCTTGTTAATTTCTTCCTATTGGTCCAGTTTATAGGGATCCTCCTGAATCATGATACTGGCATCTAAGCCGTTTGCTATCCCCCCCCCCATTTTTGTGTCACTGCCAATTTGATAATATTTTCTAATCCAAATCTTTTGACAAATATGTTGAACAATAAATGACCTATTATGGAATCTTATAATATGTCATTCAACATTTCCCTCCAACTTGACACAGAACAACTATTGTTCAGTTGGGGTGATTCAACCAGCTTGGTATCCATCTACCGGATGGTGCAATCCAATCCACATTTTGTCATATCTTTTTTTACTGGAATCTCAGGAGAGACTTTGCTAAACTCAAAGTACACTTTGTCCATTAGTCACTTTATCAAATAAAGGAAATTGGTTTGGTTTGACATGATTTATTCTTGATACGCTCATTCCTACTTAATGTACTGTTCAAACATGATGTCTGGCATCAATGTCAAGCAATACTGAACTGATCTGTAATTAACAGGTTCCTTCCTTGCACAAATGGTGTCATTGTTTCTTGACATGCCTGATGTCATTTTGATCTTTCATGACTTCTAAGACTGGGATCTCCAACCCCAGACCATTCAGAACTGTTTGGAACTGGGCCATGGAAGCATTGGGCAAGTGCAAGCACATCTGTGCACTCTCCATTTACATAAGCAGCGGGTGTGCATGCTCGTGGCTTGCGCAAATGGAGCTGCTCGCTTACACTTGCCCACCATTCATGCAAAACCAACCACTCTCACCCTCCCACTGGTTCATAAAGCAAGAAATGGTGGATTATGCCAGAAAGAATGACTGATCTGAATTGCTTACCTGCAACCCTAAAAATGTGCCATCTGGGATAAAACAGTACAAAATATTGTGATTCAAATATTAGTGGATAATTAGTTTGAAGACTTACATGGTGACATTATTTAGTTTTACAGCTGATTGATTATGATTAATTGATTATACTACACTTATATCTTTTCCCTAAAGATTGAAATGCAATTATACTTGGTACAAGGATGTAAAAATATGGCATTTTAATTCTGATAAACTTTATGTAATTCAATGCCTTGGGTTCAGCCAATTGAGCAAATGGCCCTTATTTCTAATTTGCATATATGAAGTGTTAAGAAAATTTGCAGAGCAAAACCCAGAAATAAAATCAAAAATAATACAAATTAATACTTTATTTTAAATTCTGAAATTGTAAGAAGCATAGCATAGGCATCTCTCTCTTTAACTTGCTGCTCCCACTTCCTAGAACATACCAATACAGAAACCGTTTTGAAATAAATTTTAACAGATTAAGAAACTATATGAAAAATTATATTCTAAATTTAGAATAGAAGTGGAATATTTTACAAGGTCTCCTTTTGCAAACTGAGCAGTGCAATTAGGAAATTCATCTCTTTTGGGAAAGCAAATACATCATCTCATGCATACTAGATAACTATTGGTAAGAGATATTGTAGGTATTATGAAGCTATTGCTTCCTTTTCTAAAAAAAAACAAAACCCAAACTGGTTCGTTCAGTTAAATTTCATGGTCATCATAGGATTCCAAACTATTTAATTGATCTTCACAAACCTAGCCAAGTGTAAACTATGCCAGACATAGTTTCTCTATTATATTAGTACAACCACACCCACTAATCTCGAGAAACTAATACCATAGAGAACATGGCTAATTCCATTAAGTTAAAGAAACCTACAGAAGCATAAGACAACAAAGATCTTAATCAACAGGCCCTGCCTCAGGCAAGTTATTTTTCTCTAACTAGGAATAGATTTTCAAATAATGCTCCATATAAATTTAATAAAGAAGAACATGTGCTCTTTTGTTTCAAGCATTTCTCTTTTATCATCAGTGCTGAAGTTCTGTACTTAGGACCTATTCTCAGGAACCATAGGATAATTTGAATTTTCTGCAGAGATCAAAGAAAGGCTTTCCTATCATTTTCTCATGAAGTGTTTGTTTCTTGATGTTGGATAGGTATGTGATATTGGTTGAACAGGGTCTGTGGGCCCTTTCTCTTGAGGGGAATTTAGAAAGCTGTTTTGGAGTATTAATCTAGGGCTGCAATTCTATGCATCTATACTTGAAAAATAAAGCTCATTAAATTAAGCCAACAAGCATAGATTTTGATTTGCAAGTGTGTATTGCAAATGAGTGCTTTGAATATGTACATGCTTGATTAAAGATCATTGTCAAATGGCAAATGTTAATGTGACAAATACAAACATGCCTCCCTCCTCAGTAAAAATTACCATTTTATTTATGTAGTATTTATATATATTATATAATTATTTACATGCTGTTTTTCATCCTACCCAGTGCCCAAGTATACAACTAAATGCAGGGGGGAAAAAGATCAGGAATGACAAAAAGCAAAAACTTAGCAAAATAAAATATTGGAGCAGCTCATAGCAGTTTGAAAGGATGGGGACCTATTGGGCACCTCTTGGGGGATATAATGCCACAATTGATGTGCCACAATACAGAAGGCTCTGCCTCTGTGCTGAGATTAGTAGGTTAGTGCCCCTAAGACTGAGCAGACTTGGGCTGGTGATCTGATTGGAAGTTATAGTTGCCAATAATGGATTGTCTCAGGCACAGGAAAAGCCATTAAATTTATGGAAACCCAACTCAACCTAATTGCTGGAATTAGGCAAGACAATGAAGAAGCAAAGGTTTCAACTTCCGTTTTATCTGCCAAGGAAACTCTTGGTAGTTTTAGTAGAGAAGATCAAATGTAAGAAATCAAAGTAAAACTTTACCATATCACAAAATGACCCAATAGTCTATGCCAACTAGATTCTTGATTATTTACTATTTAAAACAATTAACAAAGTAATTTATTACCTAAAACCAATAAAACTGAACATGTAATGTCATCTTCAAGTTGAAACTTTTGTGACTTCATGAGCATGCCTAAGCAGTTGTCTTGGCTATAAATTAATAACTTGCTGTTGTTATCTTCTGGAATTTCTTTTTCTTCTCAATGTATCTAAAGGTACTGTACTTATGAATCTTGACTCTGATTAGCCGCCATGTTTAGAGAAATCAGCCAATTATAGTATAATCATATACTGTATCCTACCCTACTCTACTGTATCAGAGATGGGTTTCTGTTGGTTCGCGCCAGATCAGGCGAACGGGTAGTGGCGGTGACAGGGGGCGCCACCTACCCACCGGATGCTTCTGCGCATGAAGTATTGCACGAGTGTGCGCGCACAAGCGAACTGGTAGTAAAATAAATTGAAATCCACCACTGTATTGTACAGTATGCTATGGTATGCTATGGTATGCTATACTATTATGTCCTATATATTTCTAGATAGTATATAAGTATGATATAGCTACAAAATGAAAACTATAGAGGACTGAAACATCTTCATTTATTTTGAGAATAGAAAATAGAAAACCACCAGTGAATTCTGTGGTACTTAATAGATAAGTTTCATAAAGTTTATCTATAGTGGTTATTCAAGGAAACAAATCCCTGGTTGTACTTCTTAGAAAATTATCACTGTTTGGGAAAAGGAAAACTATTAACAAATTCAAGTATCTGATTTGTTAATTCAGAGAAAATTAAAAGTTATTTCTTATTTCTAGCTTGTGACATTATTTTTAACAATATTTTTGTTTCAATTTTTTTTCTGCTTCCACAGAAAGTGTTCATATTCTCTGGATCTTTTAGAAAAAACTTGGATCCTTATGGACAATGGAGTGATGAAGAACTATGGAATGTTGCTGAAGAGGTAGGAAATGTCCACCTTTGTTCTTTAACTCTTAAGCAAGATCTTTATAAGGTACACATGAATGAGTATCCATTTTAGAAACACGGATCACAATTTTCACATAAATAAGCAAACATATAAATAGGAGAAGATACTCGCCCCAAGAACTTTTTCATCTATCTGACAGTTTATAAAATAGATTTCTCCTTGTTTCTTACAAAATGCACTTCCTTGATAAAAGAACTACACATATAATTAGGAAAATCACTAAATCATTTTATTTGCTTGCTCAAAAGTTAACAACATTAGAATCTCCATTGCCTTGGTGGGTTTATTTACTCTTGCTTGTTTTACTTTTGCATTGTCTTTATATCCTACATTTGTTTGTTTATTGGGTTTGAACTTGAAGCTAGATTTGGAAATGTGGCAAAGAGCTGGGTCAATGTACAATGCTCTGATTGTGAAGATACATTCAGGAATGAGTAAAATCAAAGCAGGATAGAAAGTCGAAACTAGAATTCTGAATAAACTATCATCATAAGGTATGCTCCTACACAATAAAATCTGGAAATCCTGTTCAGTGGAAGCTTTTAAAAATTTAACAGATTTAAAAAAATGTTTAAGCACTTCTAGATATCATATTATATTTTGGTAACTTACTGCTTCCAGTACCTTCCATGACTAGTATAAACTTAGAAATAAAACATTATTCAAAATGACATTTTTTTTGAATTTTTCTAATGTATTTTCTAATGTTTATTTTATAATATGTTTTATATCATTTTCCAGCTGAATTCATCTGGAGTTGTAGATTTGAATTAGTGGTGGGTTTCAAATCCTGTTCCAACTGGTACGGTTGGAACGGGGCTGGCGGTGTTCTCATGGATGCGTGCAGCATGCGCGCACATGCATGCAGTGCACACATGCATCTTAGCTCCTCCACCATGCTCCAAGATGCTCCAGCTGCTCTGTGGAGCATCACGCAGGCGCTGTATGTGCCATTACGTGCACAGCAGCACAGAAGCTTTAAAACAGAGGTAAGGAGCTCGGGCAGACGGCTGGGCCCTCCGGAGCACCGTCCTGGAATGGTATCCAGTGCTCCGGGCTGGCTCCAGTACACCCGTACCAGGGCATACCGCCTGCAACCCACCACTGATTTGAATATACTGTATATAATAAGCTATGAAAGGTTATATAAAAGACAGCTAACATGCTAATGTTTTGAAAACTTTTAAGTCTTTGGAAATTAAGAAGACAGACAAAAAATTATGCACAGCTTAATTAAGGCATCTCTTTATATAAGCATCTCTTTACCACTTAATGTGTCAGGATGATGGCAGTTCACAAATTAGCTCACAGGTCGATGTAGTTAGGTGATCCTTGAAATATAAAAGATTTAAACATTTTTGAAAAAACATCAGCATTTGGGTGGAAATAGAGTGGAAGTCATGATGTACAGTAACCTTAATTGGAATTTGTGAACTGATTATAGTNATCTTTTGCCCACTCTAGTTTGCAAAATACTTCTTCAAAGCAGACTGAGGAAAGGATAGGTGATATTGTATCGCCTTGTTATACACCTTCTTCTATGTTGATTTCCACTTTAAGATCATTAAGGCACATTTTCACCTTGCTGAACAACCTGGATGTGATCTATTGTGCTGTAGCTACTTCTGTACCCTGCCTGCTCCTTTGGCTGTGCATCACTTAATGTTCTCAATATTCTTTTTTATATTATCTTGGTGAAAACCTTGTAGATGCCTGAAAGAAGGCTTATTGTGCAATAGTTCTTTAAATCATCTTGGTTCCCTTTCTTGTGCATAAAAATCACTTCAGCATTTTCCCATGCATTGCGTATTTTTTTTGTCTCTGAGGCACCTCGAGTATAGTTTTGCTGGTATCTTGTGTAAACTGTGACTGCCAGCTTTCAGCATTTCAACCATAACACAATCATTTCCTGAAGCTTTGCCATTTTTAATTGATTTTATGGCACTTGATTCTTCCTCCACTAGGATATCTGGCATTTCCTCTTTCGTGGGTGGGTGTTGTTACTTATGAACACTTTTGTTACTCTTGATCTTTGTATAGCTCTCAGTAGAATTTTCCAATTATTTCTAACACTTCCTGTCCTGTTCTTCACGTTTTAACTCAAAATGCTTCTTTCTTGTATTTATAAACTTACATTTTGCTCTATTAATCCCTTTGGTTTTTTACAGTTATGTTTTTCACAAGCTTCATGTTAAAATGATGTGTTTCTTCTTGGATACATTTTCTTATGGTCTTGCAAAGTTCAACATATTCCACTTTATTAGTGAAACTTCCAATATTCTTCATTGTGCACTGATTTTTTCATTAAATCAATAGTTTCATCAGAGATTTTTTACTGTACAAAGTATTTTTTGATTGGTACTGTAGAAGTAGCAAATTCAAGGCTGTTTGTTCATTTTGGTCCATAATGTTAATCTCTTCCAAATCTTGCAATAGAGCAAAGCAATTTGATAGATTAATCTCGAAATCGCTGGTCTCTTCTAATAGCTTATTACTCTTTATTTTTGTTTTTTGTTTTGTGACATCTTTATCATTTTCATATGCTGTTATTTTCACTTTAGCTCATACCATTCTACCACTTCCAACATTAAAACAATTGATGTCACTCAGTACAATTGCAGAATATGGTTTTATCACTTGACTTGATGTAGTCAATTTCATTTGTGTACCTAGATGGACTCTTCTAATTCCATTTTCTGCTAGCTTTTTTCTTGTACTTCATGATATAAAGTTTCTACCCTTCAGCAAAATCTACTTGTCTGTCACCTCTATTAACTCATTCATTACTTCCATACGGACCAGTCACTTTTCCCCCAGGTATTGTTCTTCCTATTCTTTCATTAAAGTCACCATTAGTATTGTAAAACTCTTCGATGTTATCATCACTGTAGCTTATTGTTAGTGCATAAGCTTGTATTGTTTGTCCAATTGAATGATACATTGGGCATATACTTTCAAATTGTACCACAAAGTTTTTGGTTGAGAAAACCAATTCCAGCACATCGTCCATCTTTGGTACCTCTGATGTCTAGTTCTATCAAATTCAACTACATTTTTGCATTGTCATCATGTATCAGTTAATCCAATGATATCCCAATGTACATTGTTGAGTTCAGTCAGTCTGAAATATAATGCAATATATGTAATATAAGGGCAATATGCAATATTCTCTTGTTATAAAAACACTATAGATGTACAATAATGTAAGCTAATAAGTTAATTATAATTATTACAACTTTCCACTAAACTGTAGGAAATAGCTTGGTGATGATGTTTGATCTTTGATAATTGTTTGATCCTTGTAATTTTGTGACTATTGTTATAGTCCTTGTGATTGCTTTAGGCGAAAAAATAACTATTTAACCAATTGCCTGTTTTTTTCTTTGTTGTAGCAAATACTAACTTTTTCTAACTTTCTTTGGCTAAGGCAAGAAATAAAATGTATACAGGAACATAAAATAAGCACACACTTAATTTTGGTTTGTTTTGCTATGAAAGTTATCTTAGTAACTAGTTAGACCTAACTTCATCTATTTGTATCATTATGATATTGCATCTGAACTTTATCCACCATAGAGTAATGTAATAAAAGTGGACAAACATTGTAAAAATGTCTGCTAAAAATCTTGGCTTCTGACCACATTTTTATATTGCCTTTGTTCACATATTAAAAAATGTTTCTCTTTCAGGACTTTCCAAGTCATTAAAAAGACGCTCAAGCAAGCATTTGCAAACTGTACAGTGATTTTATCAGAACATAGATTAGAAGCTCTGCTAGAATGCCAGCGATATTTGGTGAGTGGTGATTAAAAAAGTAAATCCTAAGAGATATAATAGAATTTACTGCACCCAATGCATTTTACCTCATTTTATTTTTACAGCTACCACTACCTCTCCCAGTATCAGAAACTACTATGTAGAATCCCCACAATCTCTGAAGTGGCTTATTGTGTTTGTATAAATGCCAGTTTGAAAACCTCATTCATCTTTGGATTCCAACTAATAGCAAGCAGGAAGACAACAACCCACAACTTGACACTCCCAGACTAGAATTTCCAGAATTGCTAGTCAGTGTGGATCCAATACATGTGAAAAATGCCTTGTGGCGAACGCTATTGAAGTAGCAAAGTTGTATCTCTAGGACAAATGGCTTGTGGCCTTACATTTTCTGTCTCAGAAGCACTCTGGGTCTATACATCCTGGGCTCAATTGCCCTATCTTGGTATAGCTGCTTAATAGAAACCACTCTTCTAGGAACACATCTTTACTTGGCATCCTCCTTCCTAACTCAGGTGTGCAAAATAGGTAGGAATTATATAACCTATTTTTACTAGTCAGTAAAGAAAAGGAAGGCAAATAAAAATAAAATAAATTTTATGTCTACCGCCTGGCTCATAACATGAGACATGTGACTAGAATCTTCTCTTGCTTGAGAAATAGATCAAGCTTTCTACATCTAGACAGAATTAATTTACTTTCAGAAAAACAGAAATCAAAAATAAAAATAAAACTCTTTTTTGAACTTTATGTACAGTACTCATTGTTAACGTTCCAACTGATGAACCCAATCAAAGCAAACACCTTTGAGATCTTCCAAAGTTTGAATGCAAAACTTTTTTGAGTACATCATTTCGGCGCTGACAAAACCAGCTCTAGCTAACCCACATAGTTGCAATATGGATCCTCCCCCAATTAAAGCAGGTCACATTGTCCAATTGAGTGTCATTATTTTGTTTTGAGAAAAGTCTCTGGTCTTGGCTGATGTGTCCTCAGTTCTCACAGATCTTCTGCTTGAAGTCTGGAGCCTGCATTCCATCTCGCCTTTCCCTCCTCCCTAGTTCTTTGGCAAGTTGAAAGTGCTAATGTTTGCAATCTGGAACAAAAAGTGAAATAGCCCACAGTTTTGCTTGAATGCTACTGTTGCTGGCTTCAATCTTGATACTCATAGACAAACAGATAAATGGTAGGGGAGCTAACGATAGAGAGCTGTGAACGTTCCAGATAGCATTTCAATAGAAACTCCAATGGGATAATGCAGAAGGAAGAAAAAAAGCTCTGAGCTAACCATAGTCTTTTATTCAAGGCTAATAACCACTGAATTTCTGTAGAGAAAATATGCATCAGAAACAATAGAAATCAGGGACATACATTCCAGAGTAAAAGTGATCTAACATAGTATTTCTAGATCAGATTTCTTACCCAATATTTAGAGATAAATATGTCTTGATAGTAAATGTTTTTCTGCTCCCTTCCCTGGAGTTTCCAGATTTTAATACATTACAACCTTTAATTAGAGACTCAGCAATCTAATGTAGTTCCTTTTGCTAGCTCCAATATATTGCTTCTCGCCTAGACACTTAAAAGGTAAAAGGTAGTTCTCTATAGAAGAGGAAGAACTGGGAAGGATTTCTTTCTCCTATGTGCCAAGCTAAGCATCCCTCCTCCCAGAGTGACCCGTTTCAGGCAAAGAGGTATACAGCATATTGGGAAAGTTGGCAGTTTATATAACAGGCAACCAGCAATTTGGAGGACTGTGAAAGCAAGTTGGCATCATAACAATTGAACTAATTGAACTAATTAGAAAGTAAGTGTTATTGGTAAAATCAGCTTCCTCTTCCTCCTCTTCTATTCTTGCAGGGAGAAAGAAAGGGTGAAGGCCAAGCTGGCAAAACTCAAATACACACAAGTAGATTCCAGGCAAAATCTGAAGAAGAAACTGGAGAATATGACAGAATAACAATAGGAAACTAAGCAGTATTTTGTTTTCGGCTCCCTCTACAGTTCACTAGGCAAACTAAATAGTCATTCTTTCAAAACAATATTTTTAAACAACAATTTCTATGCATGCTAGGAATTGAAAATCTGGAACAAAAAGTGAAATAGCCCACAATTTTGCTTGAATGCTACTGTTGCTGGCTTGAAACTGACGACCTTCAAAATGCTTTTGGCTTTTTTAAAAAGAAATCATAAAAAGAAACACCATGTTTTGTATTAAAGCACTAACTGTCCTGAACACAACCTTCCTTAAAAAAAAACCTTATAATTCAACTGCACAATTATGCTAGCAAGAACATGTTACCTATAAGTCAGAAACAGCACATATTGTTTCATAAACTTGTTTCATGCATACTTTTATTCACAGCGAAAACATTATAAATCAACTATGTTTGTGTGTTGAATGCTTTGATGTATACCTATTCCAAATGTTTATTTCTATTACTCCACTATTTTTCTTTGTTTATTGCACCCAAACACATAAAAGTATTTTTGGCAGAAAGGGAGAAGAATTTGTCTTCATTGCATAAGTTTTATTTAACAATGATACCAAGTTTGTCAGGGCCTTCAACAGTCTCCTCCAAATGAAGTTCTCAGCTACCCACCTGTCATGTGGCACAGTCACTCTTTGAAGGTGAGGTCAGCAGAAAAGCTTGCGGAAATTTTCTTCATGAGTAACAGTGAAAAAGCCTTCCTGACTGTATTTTCTTCCATTTCCCCTTCCCCTCCGCCCCTTTTCCCCTTCTCTTAAAGCAAGTTGGCACTAGCTGCAGTAAAACTGCATATTAATATGCAATGTTGTTATGTGCACAACCCATAATTTATGAGAGATTCAACATATGGTGGAAAAGGGAAACTAGTATGTGATGGAAGTGTAAGACCTTCTGAAGATTGAGTCTACTATAATAATATTATTTAGCTTATGGATAATGTAGATACCATGCTCAAATAAAATAAAATTGCAGGAGGAGGAGGAAGAGGAGGAAGAGGAGGAAGAAGAAGAGGAGGAGGAGGAGGAGGAGGAAGACAATAGCAGGCTGAATGGGAAAAATGCTGTGTCTGGCTCTTGGAACTAATCTGAAGATAATTGTCAACAAAGTGATAGAAATATATTTTTAAAAACTCATTGATTTTAATGTTGCTTATTTCCTAGTTAGTTACAGAATTATTACAATTATAGTCCAAGATGCCTACTTATGGCAGTTATTAATTCATTCTGTGTAATATATAAATGTATATTTTCTAGAGATATGAAATAATATTCTTGCACAACGTGAAGAATGCAAAAACCACCAATATTTTGGTGATTATTGTCATTCTGTAACATAGCAGTTGATTCCTGAAAATATCAATATATAATTAAATTTTATTTTCTCATTCTCATTTATTAGGTCATAGAAGAAAATAAAGTCAAGCAATATGAAACAATAGAGAAGCTTCTTGAAAAGAATCCTTTCGGTAAAGCAATCAGCTATTCCGATCGAGCCATGCTCGCCCCAATATATCCCAGGGACTCAAGCAAGCAAAGGTCAAGGCCTCAAATCAGTGCTTTGCCAGAGGAAACAGAGGAGGACATCCAAGAAACCCGGCTGTGAAGATGCCTCAAGATGCTGTTGCATACAGCTTCCTTGAATTGTTCTGAGAAAAAATATCAGAACAAATGGGAACAGAAAGAACAAGATTAAAAATGACGGAACAAGAACAGATTTAGGAATTTAAATTAATGAATGTGTGATCTGTCTGCATAAAATGCTTTACAATGCTAGGGTCAAATTAAGTATCAAGGACATATATGTCAGACCTGATCCCAAAGAATTTTTTCATGAAATATCTTCTTTTTACAGACATGGGATGATCAGGATGATAATCAAGTTTTTAAAGTTCATAAATTGAATTTTTAAATATCACAGTACATATTTTTACAGTATGTGAATGTCATACAAAACAAGCATAATTTGCACTTGTATTTTAATCTACAGTAAATCCATAAGCAAGTTTGATTCTAAAGGTCTGTTGTTGTTGTTTTTATCAGAGAACAGACCAGGGACAAAGCATATATCTTTTGCAATCATTGCAAAAGGGGTCATTAACTGTATTTATTGCTGTGCAAATTATAGATATGTCAGCCAAAATGAACATTTATGTTCTGGATTAACATAAATACAGGAATTAGCAGCTCTTAGTTTTTGACAAAATTGGGCATTTAAATATTCAAAAGAACATAAATTTAATTAGGGATTTTAAAATTGTTTTTCCTATGTATGAAAAGGACATGGAAAAAATGTAATTGAAAGGTATACAGTTTTTGTAATGCAAATACATGAAAGCTGAATAACTTTAAAAAACAAAGTTACATCTATTCATGTGGTAGACATTATATTTAATTTTAAATATATTATCTGTTATAATAGCCAGGAAAATATGAATTTAAAAATAAGAAGATGCAATTAATGAATTGCATTTGTGTTGCTCTGTAATAATTCAACTTTGTTGGTATTTGGTCCATTCTGTTTGTCAGATTAATATCTTCCTATATGAGAGGAAAGACATCAAGTTGTGCTGTGTACCCTTTGCTAGACTGCTCCTGTAAGATACAGTAGCTGATGCTTCATAACCATTGTAAAAGAAAGGGTTAATTGCTAGTCTACTTCTCTATTGAGTATGGATCAGGAGCAATTAGCATTTATTGTTTTTATAGACAGCAAAATGAGTCTGGGCATTGTTTTCAGTTTTTAAAATTTAACATTGTTTTTAATTTTTAGAATTTGTAATTTTTTAGTGGAAAGAAAAAAAATTACTTGACTTTTGTGATCTTTTATACCACACTATTTTATAGTTAACTGAAATTTCTCTAGCATATTTATTTCATAACTTTATTAAAAGTTACTGTGGCAGTCCTTTAATAAGAATGTTCTATATTTTAGAAATAAAATGTATTACAAATTGTATTGGAATTCAAAGGGCCATCACAATTGTTTTTATTTTACATTTTTATACGTTTAGAGAAAAATCTGTAATGAAAATCCTAGCTACTAACTGCTGCATTACACATTTTGCTTATTTTTGTCATCTTAATTGTTTTAATGTGCAGTATTGACATTGATCCTGATCAATGAAGTTGTGTAATGCAACACCTTGAGACCAATTTTTATTTTATTTTATTTTATTTCTACAGTGAGTTTAGCTGTAGTCTTGATTTGGTAGCCAGGGTTGAAATCAGATCAGCAGTGTCACAAGGCAGTTCTTGACCTATCCTGGTCCTATGCTTTAGATCTTTTTAAGCAATCGGTAGCATTTTATTTGGATCCAAAGGCCTACCAGCAATTACCACAATGACTTCAACATTGGTGTTTCTTTGCTGATCTGTTTTGTAAAGTTCTGGCCATCCTATTCTCTACAACCTGCAGCTTCTGAGGTAGATGCACACAGAGAGCATTGCAGTATCAAGTGGACATGATTGACTATTGCCATAGCATTCTATTCCAGAAACATCTATAACTGTTACACAGCCAGAGCTGCACAAAGATTCTCCTGAGCAAAGGTTTCCAAATGCTCCTTTAGAAGAACCTTAAAAATTCTAGAAAGTAAGCAAAAAATTATGGCTTCAATGCTTAGCTTGTGGGCTTCCCAGAAACATCTGATCAGTCATTCTATTAAAAAGAAATTGGTCCCAATAAATATCTAAGCTGCCAGCTATTAAAGTATTTGAGTCCTACCCATTCAGTGTATGTTTTAAAGAGCTGGTTGGATAACAAGACTATAACAGAGACACAACCCTCCATGTTTTATTTGCTGTGAATATGCTTCTGGTGCATAGATAAATTGGCAGATCATATGCACTGCAGATTTAAATGAAGACTGTAGAAAATGTAATTCTTTTTTACTGATCTCTGACCATATTATCAGTATAAAAATACTAGGTAGCACTTGCAACAGGCTTAACCATCTGCTGCTATGGTTATAATCAGGTGGTATAAAAGACCACTATGCCAACATGGCACTTTAAAAAAAATGATTGAAATGATTCACTGACATTATTGCACAGCATATGTTAATAAATTGAAAGTATTGTTTATAACCTCTGCTATATGATCATAATAAAAATTAAATGAGGCACTGTTCAAGTGAACTGTGCTAAATGAAAATTCCTGAATTGTCAGTCTACCAGCATCCAATATATGACCAAAACCTTTATTTAAAAAATCTCTATATTTTATATAATTTGCAGGGTAATAATGTTTTGTTTTCTTGTCACTAGATGGTGCCGAAGAGCTGACACATTTTTATTTGTTGTTCCAGATACTTCTTATTGCAAGTGTTTTGTATCTTGATTTTAGACAAACATGGTTACACAGTTTACTTGTATATGGAAAAGTACTTATCAATCACAATCTAATTATATATTTACTTCCACATCTATAAGATCTAACTTTCAAAGATTCTGGGTGACCATTAGAATTAGTTTTCTGTATCTGTCTTTGTGGCCCAGATGTGGTAGCTCTCTTAACACCTGTGCATTTCATTTGGTAAAAAGAAGCTTGCAGCACAAAAGCTTATTAAAGATTATGCCTACAAAATTGTTTCATTTTTTCATAATATACAATCTAAATATTGTATGATTTATGTTTATTTGCAGTTTCCTATAACCAAAGAGTAAGAAGATACCCTAATATGCTTTTGCAAAATGTGGAAATCTTACTATTTATTATGCCTACACTACAGTACTGAAAAGAAAGGCTTCAGATGTGAAGCATGTGCTGTTCTGATGCCCTCGAACTATTGGCTGCAGCTGCTAGGAAATGTGGTTCAGAAAATCTGGTGCATCATCAGGGGATGCAAGTTCTGATACAGAAAGCAGCTGTCAGAGAAATTTTGGTTACTAAGAATCCATACTGGTCACTGCAACAGCGGCAGTTGGACGAATCATGTAACCAAGGAGAAGGTAAAAGAAGTTGTCTGAGGCAAAAGGACACAAAGCAGTCCCAGCCTGAAGTCAGCAGCATGCAGAACAAATCCCAAGTGTGTTTTCAGAAGGATAATTACATCCTAAAGGCCAGCTTAAGTAATCTATCTAAACCCTGTCTTTTTCTGGCACGGAATATTCAGGCTCTGATAAAATGCTAGGTAACGTTGCCAGCAAATGTAATAAGGCACCAAAGGATCTCCTGTTGTCTTCTTTCAATGCCTTGGCTTGCTTTGCCAAAATGCATCTCCTGAGCATTCATTGCACTAAGACACGTTCTAGAATTAATTCACAACTGGAGCACACACTGCTGTGTCAGGTTTTTTACTGTGCATCTTTACCCACAGGAAAATGTGCACCCACTGGAAAAAGCTCCGTTAAAAAATATATATTAATCTTATCAGGTATTACAAATTACAAGGTTGTATAACCACAGGATTTTATTCAAATTTTGGAAAGAAATAATTTCTTCATTCATGGAACCAAAGGAAAGGAACCAAACTCTGCATCTGTTCAGCCAGAAAAATGATAAAGATATTGCTTAATATGAAGCAATACACTATAAGAACAAAAAGAGAAAAATTCAAACGTAATACTCGTCTTTGTTGGAAGAACTATCTGGTTAAGTTTCAAGCCAGGAGAAAGGCACTGGAGACATAATGGAGACTGGAGGCTGATTGGAAAGAGGGCCCATTTATTTATGAAGCAGAAGCACATGGGTGGTTCTGGGTATCTGAACCCATGGAGTTGAGAGAGGGTGGCTTTTATACCTTCTCTTGGGCTTTGCATTTGAACTTCCTGTTCCTGTGCAAGGCCATGTATTCTATTGGCTGTTGTCAGACTCCCATGGGGCCATGTGGGGCCATGTTTGTCTTGCGCTCCCAGGTTGGTTGAAGCTTGGAGGGTGATGATGTAATGAAGGGCCTTCTGTACTAAAAGGGTGTTGGGCAATTCCTATTGTGTCTTAATGGCTTTGTCCTGGTTTGGATCTTGAGTGAGGGCTTATCCCATCTCCCTGAGGCTGACCGTCTTTTGTCTTGTAGATAGGGTGGCCCAGTCTTTCTAATGGGGACCAAATATCTGCTGGGGGCAGGCAGCTAGGGCTGAGTTTCTGTCTCCCTTAAGATTTCTATTTATCTTTTAAGAGAAATATTATATTAAGAAATATAATATTCTGTCTTTTTAAATATTTCTCAAAGTACTTCTTTCTTCTACGAGGGATGACTTTCCTCATCTTCATAAAACAGAAGGTTATAGGAAATGATAAAATCAATATGATGATTGATAAAACGCAAAAAAAAAAACCAAATTATACAGTGCTGATATAATATCCTATTTAAGCTATTGGTAGTCCTCATTTAGCAACCTTGATTGGGACCGGCAACTCAATCATTAAGTGAAGTGGCCATTAAGTGAAATTGCTAATGATGTTACTTCAGCTGTCTTTTGTTTTTCTTTTCTGCAAAGATGGTAAAGGTAAGGAGTGGTGGTAAAGTTACTTTTTCATCACCTTTAATTGGGAATGGTCACTAAAACAAGGCAGTCACTAAACAAAGACTGACTACTTGCATTCAGTTTAAAACATAAGGTAGCACCTAGAGATTGAGATGGAGCAAAGAGAGAAAGGTTTTTGAAAAAGGTTGCTATAAAGACAGTGTAAGCAAATGGTAAGAGATTTTCATAGCGGAATTGCTCTGAAGCATACTGTATGTGTGGAGGTGTTCACAAAGTATAGTAAATAAAATTCACTAAATAAAATAAAATTCACTAAAAAATTAGGCAAAGCTTCAATCATATATTTATGGCTGCCATTTTCACTTTTATAACCATATTCTGCAGATACCCGTGCAAAAAATAGCTATTCTTGTGACGTGAGTGTGACAGAAATATATGCAGAAATTGGGAAATGGGGAAAAAGACAGAGAAGAAACCTAAACTATGACTAAACTTTGTTATTTTTTGGCAATACCACCAATTCCAGCAGTAAAACAAATGCACAATGTTGAATTCTGCTCTGTGAAAAATAATCCCAAATGCACAACAAGACATGGGAAATACTTTTCTTTCAAGGATGAAAAATTTATTACAAATTTTAAGAAAGCAAAAACTAAGAGAAATGAAGAGGATATAATTAAATTAGAATAGCAATTCTAAGCCATATCTATCTGCTTTCTGATGAAGGATGCCTACCATTGATCACAAAGCTTTGTACAGGTCTACTGTTTTGGCAAGAAGGGTGCAGGTCTGCAGGAGGAATATGGTAGACTTCATGTATGTTGGTTTGGTTTAGGTTTGGTTTATTGGATTTATATGCCGCCCTTCTCCCAAGGACTCAGGGCGGCATATAACATTAAAAGAAACACACAATACGGAAGGTAAAAAAATTAAATAGAATATCCCAAACAAACCCAATTAGAATTAACAATAACAATTTTTTTAAAAAATCGAATTAAAAT